CCGCCACAAATGGCACATTTTTTTGTATTGGAAGGGGGGTGTGGGGTGTGAGGTGCGGGGAAGGAGGGTGTGGGGTGCAAGGAAGTATTATTAAATTGTTCATTTTAAAGACAATGGTGAAGTATTATTAAATTGTTAATTTTAAACCCATATAATACCAAAACATAATATATTGGCTCATCACAAAAATAGCAGAGACCCTTGGCCCTCCTTTCATTCATGTACGCAGGGGTCAAACTCTTCCCTGACCTTGCTTTAATCTTACTAGCATTAGTTCCTGTACTGGAAGAACTAGAATTATCAACACTCAATGGTCGATGGCCCAATACCCCTTTTTGCTGTTTATATTGATCTCATTAATCACAGAACCTGAAGTATTAGTAGCCTCATACAATCTTGCTAACGAAAAAGCCTTATTTACTGTAGTTGGTTGAAACATCCTTACCATCATTTGAATATCCTTCTTCAGCCCTCCCAAGAAATAACTAAGCAAATACTCCTCAGACAAATTCAAGCGAGTAATAATAGCATCAAACTCCTCATAATATTCGATGACCGACTTTTTCTGCCTCAATTTCATTAAATCCATCTCCAAAACATGCACTTGCAACTTCTTGTGAGTCAAACTATGTTCAGGTGAGTAAGGATCATCACAGAAATAGCAGAGACCCTTGGCCCTCCTTTCATCCATGTACGCAGGGGTCAAACTCTTCCCTGACCTTGCTTTAATCCTACTAGCATTAGTTCCTGTACTGGAAGAACTAGAATTATCAACACTCAATGGGCGATGACCCAATACCCCTTTCTGCTGTTTATTGATCTCATTACTCACAGAACCTGAAGTATTAGCAGCCTCATACAATCTTGCTAACGAAAAAGCCTTATTTACTGTAGTTGGTTGAAACATCCTTACCATCATTTGAATATCCTTCTTCAGCCCTCCCAAGAAATAACTAAGCAAATACTCCTCAGACAAATTCAAGCGAGTAATAATAGCATCAAACTCCTCATAATATTCGATGACCGACTTTTTCTGCCTCAATTTCATTAAATCCGCCATTGGATCATCACAAACATCACCAAACCTTTCAAGAACCAGTTTCTTGTACTGAAGCCAAGGCAAATTAGAGCAATTAGTCGTTTTATCAATAGTTGTGTGCCACTGTAAAGCCCGACCCTCCATATGAACAACAGCAAGTTTAACACAATAGTCCTCAGGTGTATTATCAATAAGAAAAAAATTGTCACATTGATAGAGCCATTGGTTCACATTCTCACATTAAACCTGGGAAAATCAATCCTAGCGAGCCTAATTCCACAATAATAAGAAGACCCACGATTCTGTCCATGAATACCAGCTGATCCTGATATATTGCCCACATTACCCATCAGTTCTTGCAACGTTTCTTTCATAGAATCAGTCAAGGTTCGTTGTATCGAACCCGCAAGTTCCACCAAACGATCCTCCAACTTCGCTGATAACCGTTCTTCCAATTCCCGCATGGCTGCCGCATGACGAGTTGATTCAGCCATAGAAGGTTAGTCCACTGAATCGTGTTAGATTCAGTTTTAAGAAGTTAAATAGAGAGCCCGTAAACAATTAGAGGCACGCTTGTTGTTGTATCCACATCTCCTTCTTGTAATCTCTCAAACACGCAATAAACCCTTCGGAATCTTTTCTCTTGTAAGGTTCCCTAACTCAATCTCTGTTCTTCGAATTGCATCTGAATTTACATGTCCGAAGTAAATGTAGTTTGCTAAATAAACCAAGTGAAGCCTTTCACCATACAAGAAATTATAAGCTTGGACCCATCTGCTACCACAACACTTAAAGGCTCCCTTTCTTCAATCTTGCACCCATACTTCTTAGCCACTTGAATATCCAAGAAATTGTGTGTGCTGCCACTATCGATAAGGATGTGCAAAGGTTTTTTCTTATAATACCCCGTAATCCTCATGGTACGAAAACTAGCAACTCCTGTCAATGCATTAACTGATATTTGTGGTTCCCCTACTGTAGGTCCGTCATTTACATTAGCCAACACTCAATGGGCGATGACCCAATACCCCTTTCTGCTGTTTATTGATCTCATTACTCACAGAACCTGAAGTATTAGCAGCCTCATACAATCTTGCTAACGAAAAAGCCTTATTTACTGTAGTTGGTTGAAACATCCTTACCATCATTTGAATATCCTTCTTCAGCCCTCCCAAGAAATAACTAAGCAAATACTCCTCAGACAAATTCAAGCGAGTAATAATAGCATCAAACTCCTCATAATATTCGATGACCGACTTTTTCTGCCTCAATTTCATTAAATCTTCCATTGGATCATCACACATTCTTCCAATATTTTAAGGGAGGTGTGGGGTGTGGTGGTGCGGGGAAGAGGTGTAGGGTGCGGAGAAGGGGGTGCGGGGAAGGGGGTGTGAGGTGTGGGGGTGCGGAGAAGGGAGGGTGTGGGGTGCGGGAAAGGGGGTGTAGATTTAAGAATTTCATTTTTTTAAGGGTAATTTAGACATTTTATATATTTTTTTTAAGAAAGGAGGTGTGTTTATCATTAGCCCTACTATAAAACTTCAATTTTTTTTTGCCTAGCCGGGCCCGTTTTCAAAGTGGGTCGGGTTAGCTCACGGGTTCTGACCCACTTTTACGGCTCTAATTTATGTCGGAAAATCTCACTCATTACCCTCAATAATATCTTTTATTGAATCATTCTTTTTTATTTTTCATTTACAAGATTCATAACTTATTTAAGATATTTAATTCATTGTTAGTTAGACCATAAGTCTCATAAGTGTCTTTATTCTTATGGTTACACGATTTATAATCTCACAAAAAACATCTCAAAGAAAATAATGGTTAAATCTGACTTTATATAGATTATACTTTATTCTAATTAAAAAAACTTTTTACCAAAAAATTAAAAAGTTAGACCAACACTGTTGATGAAAAGATTATATTTGCATTTAATAATTATTTATTATTGGAGAAATTTGCCATACGGGTATCTTCTTCGTAGGAACTTTAGCTACATCATCACACCTTACTCCAATATTGGAAACATATCTCTGCTAACACAATACATGTCAAATTCATTCAACGCAAAAGCACCAAAGCTAGTAGTGCTAAAAAAAAATAGTAACGAACAAAGTAAAGCACTAGCAATAGTCAAGAGAGATGCTTCTTGTCCACTTTGCCCCTACACCGATATTTGTGACTCTGACGACAACCTAACTATTTATAAGTTTATCAGAGTTAAAAGTAGCTTAATCAGTGTTTAAAAAACCGGATCAAACCGGCCGGTCGGACCGGGAACTGGTGGTTTAGCCGGTCCGAACTTTAAGTTGGATCGGTTATGCAGTCGACCCGTTTCAAACCGAATTAAACCGGTCAATTTTCCGGTTCAACCGGTAAACCGGTGGGTCAAACCGGTTCAACCACTTTTTTTTTTTTAAGGGACAATAAACTACAAAAATAATAATGAAAATTGAATCTCTGAATGGAAGAACAAAGATTCTTATTAAATATAACAATGACTACTTGTTCTAATGTATTTGTTTATATAATATACAACTTAAATAACTTTTATAGTATATTATTAATTTTATATTATATATTTAATAATATAATATATATGTAGATATTACATATATTATTTTGTGATATCAATTGCAAGCATATTATATATGTACATATTATTTATATTTTTAATTTGTATTAATATACAGTTTAACATGTAATTTTTTATATATTTTTTACAAAATAAAAATAAAAATAATTTTAAATAAGATAGAAAAATTGAAATTTAAAATAAGATATAAATTTATTAAAATTTATAAGTATAAAATATATTTAATATGAATATTTTTTTAATAAAAATAAATAAAAACCGAGTCATGCGGTTCAACTAGTGACCCACCGGTTCAACCTTTGACCCACTGACCCAGTACCTTAACCGGTTCGATGACCGGTCCAGTTTTTAAAACTATGGAAAAAATTAATGTATGTTTCGGGTACATTTTTCAAAGTTTTAATCTTTATTTAATTTAAAGTATGTTCTCCTTTTCTTTTGTCATTGTGAGTATTGAAGGAACTATTTTACTTCAATTTGTTAAACAACCACATATACAAAAATCAATTAAGTTATCAAACATCATAAATAATATTAATTAATAATAAATCTCTAATAGATGAAGTATTTTATTTGGTAGACATTTGTGTAAAGATAACAAATCATCTTTCATACATTCATCTAATTAAATAGTCTTAAAACTTTTTTCCAACAAAGTCTGTTTTTATTATCATTAAAATTTTATAATTTGAGAAATTTAAGGTCATTTTTGATTTAATAAAATATTTTAGACCTGAACGATAACTAAAACTTTATAGTAATTATCTTTCATACTGAAGCAATTAATAATAGATTTTTTTTTTAAATATAAACAAGTCTATTTCATTTCACAAATAATCTGTTGTAAGATACAAGGTGGGATGAATCTAACATTTATAAGGCCAAATAAAGATAATGAGGCTTTGGCTAAGTTGTGGGAGCCTAAGAGTGAAGTTTACTACACAATTTGATAAACTAAGAGAGTCCAACATCTACCGTTAATATCTCCTTATTTGGAAGCATCAGCCTGAGGCATATTTATGTTGTAAACAACTCTTTGACAATCAAGGTCGATAACAACATTATATATAATAGAAAATATATATGAGCTTCAAAAGTTATTTTTTTTATTTCTAAAATATAAAATGTCTTATTTTAATATAAATAAAATAGATAAATAATAAATATTTCAAAGACATGTTACTGTTGTTGAAATTTTCTTGAAAAAATATTCAATCTAAACAAATGTTATCATGATGACATATAAAGAATCATAATCATTCAAATATGTGTGCATCATAATATTATTTCTACTTTATTTTTGTGTATATATAAACCTTGTTGATAGTGACTCAAAGTATGTGTTTCCCAGTCTGATGGGTGTCGTTTGTCATCTTATGGTTTTGTGAATGGTCTATTCAAATTCAATCATATAGATTCAAATTGTTTCATTAGTTTTACGGATTGTGCATCTAATCTTATGGATAGCCTGTCTTATTAATCTGATGAATTTTATCTTATAGTTTTATTATAAATCGTTTGTTCAATTTGTTTCATGAATCTTATTGATTGATTGTTTCTATTTAGTTTGATGAGTTGTTTGTTGAATTAATCTTATAGATACTGTGAACATATTCACCAAAAAAGAAGGAAAATAGAAGGCAAAATTTGTAGTCCTTTATTTGATTCAGTGTTTGGTCTCAATACTGAATACTGAATTTTGAGCAACGTCCCACAAAAACTGGCATACGTGTCGAGGAAAGGACAGATATCGTAATGTATTTCAAACAGTACCTTCGGTTATTGACCACTCAGCAATGCAATTGTGCATGTCAGTTGGAAATAACCTCCTGTGATGCAACAGAGCATGACCTTTCTCTGTTTATGGTTATACAATGATATGTATGGAGGTACAGCATATAAAACCATGTCCTTTCTATTTACGATTATACAACAATATGCATGGAGCTGTGCCATTGGACTTCATTTTAACAAGAATAATTAGAGATTCTTATAACAATAACAATCTATATAATTTTTTTTCATTTATTAATGTGTGAAAAATTATTTATACATTTTATTTACTTTGATCGGTGTGTATAGGGTATGCAAATGATAATAATACATGCATCATTGCAAGAGTATCTCATATAGTTATTAACCGTTTGAAAGTTTATCAATAAGTTAAAAAGTAGCTTAATGTATTCTCAAGTACATTTTTTTAAGTTTTAATCTTTATTTAGCTTTATTTTTTATCTAGTTATTTATTTTTATTTGATTTTAGAAATAAAATTACATAATACAATAGGTGTTTAAAAAAATATAATTTTTAATTAAATATTATAACTGTAATTAATTCGTGATTTTTTTTTTCTTCTAGCTGTTAGATTCAGTTTAATTTAATTTAATGAACAATATTCATTTAAAATGAATTGGACAAATCTTTTTATTATATTTTTTTTTTCTTATAGTCAATAAAACATAAAATACTAGTTAGATAAATAAGTTTTCTCTTTTTCTAGCAAGAAATATTGCCACCATTGATTTTTTTTTTTTCACAATTCTTTGAGCTTAGATATTTATTTTAGTACATGTATTTGTTATAAATTAAAATACTTGACATTCTTTACCATTAATATTAATTAGATAATCGCATGTAGAGTAAAGCAGCATAATGATGCAGAATATATTTATTTATAATATTTTTAACTTGTTAATTTGATAATAATTAACTATGTTATTTAGGATATCGCGGCATCTTTTGTTAAAACAAAAATAAGAGTTTTATATCTTTGTTATTTTCTGGTTTTAAATCGGTTAATTTATTAGGATTATCTATTTAAATTAGATTTATGTAAGAATTTATATTGTTACGAGACTTTATATATTACTTGAACTGGTGTAATAATAATAACTCGTATATTGCATAGTGCTGAATTTTTAATTTTTTATTTTTTATTTTTTATTTTTTCATTTTACATAATACACATTGTATAGAAATTAAAATGGAGATATAGTAGGAATATAATCCGCGTAATATATATCTATGTATCAAAGTATTATTTTTAAAACTTTACCTTATATCTATCTATGCCCATTGAGCTTGGAATCCAGTCTATTCCAGTCCACTCTACTCCTCCTTGACAACACCAGGAGTACTCACATCTTTCATTCTCCATTTTCATACACTCACATGCCGCATTCGCTTTCCTTCACTTTTTGCAACTTGGCATAACCGTCTTCTCCGCGCCTCACTGTCCTCACATGCCGCATTCGCTCTCCTTCACTTTTTGCAACTTGGCATAATCGTCTTCTCCGCGCCTCACTGTCCTCGCATGCCGCATTCCTTCACTTTTTGCAACTTGGCATAACCGTCTTCTCCGCGCCTCACTGTCTTCTCCGCGCCTCACCGTCTTCTCCGCGCCTCACTGTCTTCTCCGCTTCATCCTCCGACCACCGTCTTCTCAGCGCCTCACTGTCTTCTCCGCGCCTCACCGTGCTCCGCGATTCTCTCTTCATATTCCGCTTCTCGCGTTCATTAACTCTCTTTTGAGTAGCTTTGCTTGAAAATAGTAAAATGGTAGCAAAAAGACGTCAAAAGAGATATAAGAGTGGTGGTGATGAGTCTCAGCTAAACACTGGGCCATCAACAAGTGACGCAGCCCAAAAAAAGAGTAGAAGTGAGGGAGATGAAACTGAAACTCCTATCTTTCCAAAACCACCTTTACCGCCTTCAAAAAGACGTGCTAGCACCGAAATAGAACTAGTCGGAGGTGGTGAACACATTATTCAGTGCAATGAAGTCGCACTCGATAAAAGTTCATTGACAATGGAGAACATTTTTGATCGTGTAGCTCCTATGAAGTTGAGAAAAGAGGTGATTATAAGAGGGATATTATTAAGTTTCTTCATGTCTACCATGCTCATATTTGTCATCGTCAATATTAGCATAACCACAGGAACTGTCCACCCCATCAACACTTACGTGGGAATAGTAACATTTCTATTCATGGACATATGGATGATTGGGTTAACTAGAATGGGTGTAAGGAATATAGCTTTTACTCGGGAGGAGCATACACTTATTCACATAGCTGTTGTGACAGCTAGTACGGTTGCCTTCAATGGTATTTCCTTCTCTGTTCTGTTTTAATTTTTTTTACTGACTAATTGGTGAACTATAAAGGTTTAAAAAATACTATGCTTGTAGTTGATGCTTAATAGCTAATGCAATTATGATAAAATGAATCTTTTTGTTGACATTTTGTTTGAATTTGTTTGAACAGCTGGCTTTGGTAACTACCTCCTTGGAATGAGACCAGAAATTGCAAAACAATTTGGAGGAGCTAACACTGAGCAAGATATCAATGACCCGAATATGAGTTGGATAATTCCATTCTTATTTGTTGCTAACTTGTCGGGCTCGTGTTTACTTATTCCACTCTTTAAGGTACACTAATCTATCTACATACAATGTAAATAAATAATATATATATATATATATATATATATATATAATTAACTTTGTCATTTATTAATTAATTATAATTATAATTATACTTGCTTGCACAGGTATAGTTTTCTATGCATGCATGAATTTTTTTGTTGGTTACAACATGTTGATGAGTTTCAACGGTTGTTGTCACAGATCATGATAGTAGACCTCAATTTGTCATATCCCAGTGGTACTGCAACAGGTCATCTAATCAACAATTTACATATACCAGATGGCGTCACACAAACTAAGTAAGGATTCAAGCCTTTAATTTTATAAATATATCAATAAGATGCTTTTAATTTAACTATATTTTTTTGTGTTTTGTTCTTAGGAAGCAAGTACGTGTGCTGAAAATCTTCTTACTCTGTAGCTTTCTATGGGGCTTCTTAAGATGGAGTTTCACTCGTGGTGTTGGATGCGGATTAGTTCTCCCTATATTTGGTCAAGAAGCCTATGAACACCAGTATGTTACTCAACTACATGTTATTAATGATTCACGTCTCTTATATGAATACAGGGTATTCTATAAATCGTAGTATTGGGAAACAATTCAAATAATTGAGGGAGGGGTTTGAGTTTCACTTTTATATAACTTGTGAGGGAAAATTTTCAAAAATATATATATAATACATTTTTTAAATAATGGGCATCTTTGTGATTTTTTTTATATTTATGTAAGTTGACTTGTTTGTGTTCTCGTTGTATGTATGCGAATAGGAAAGCCTTTTATTTATTTATTAACACACAGAAATGGATAATTTCTTATGTATAAGTTGGGTGTGGATTAGCCAACAATTTCATTTTACGCATATCTTTAAAAGTGACACATATATATATAAATATATATGTATATGAATATACCATTTTCCTTTTTTATTTTAAAAAGAAACTGATTAAAATATTAAATTTATTTTAATTAATTATTATATATATTAATTTTTTATTTTTTTATTTTTTATCTATATAACAGGTTCTACCTGGAACTCTCTGCTGCATACATAGGAATCGGGATGATGTGTCCACACATGATCAATGTGTCACAACTAATTGGTGGAATTCTCTCGACTGCTATCTTGTGGCCTCTTATTGAGGCTAAGAAAGGAGATTGGTACTCCTCGGAGCTCAAGGCAAGCAGTATGTATGGTCTTCAAGGTTACAAAGTAAGCTATCTTGTATAGTTTTCATATTTAAAAATCGCTTCATTATGATAGAAGAGTCTATGCACAGACAACATTACTTCAAAATATAATAGTTTTTTTAGAATAAGTTTAGTCATGATATTTCTTAATAACATCTTTTTCTTTATGTAAGAATGAAAGAAAACTATATTTCTTGTATTATCTTTGTTGTGCATACGATGTATACATATACATATATTGTTATAGTCTAGAAAAAATTAATCTCATAACCTTCCTAATATAATTCCATAATTTAAGGAATGACACATAACAAGGATATACATGATATAGTGAAACAAAATTATGATACACGAGATATGCTAAAATTATAATTATAATTTCCATGAGCATGTTGACAGTGATTGAGAAGAAAATATTTCTTTCCATTGATAAATTTTCTTATCTGTGAAAGGGAACTATAGAAAAGTATATATACAAAATATTGAAGCTGTTGAAACATAAATAAAACCTAAACAAATTCTTGTTGTAACCTAAATAGAAATTATTCTGTAACTGACTTAAAGAATTCAGTTATAGGAAAAAGAAAAGATATAATTATTTTATGCCTAATACCCCTTCTCAAGGTGGGCGATGAATGTTAATGATGCTCAACTTGGAAATAGCATGTTGAAATGCCTAAGAAAAAATCTCACTGTAGTGAACTTGGCTACAGGGGAAAAAGTTTCAAAATAATCAACCCCTTCTTGTTGTGTAAAGCCCTTAGCAACCAAACGAGCATTGTATCTCTCTATGGAGCCATTTGCCTTATGTTTGATCCTATAAACCCATTTGCATCCAATAGTGTGCTTTCCTGGAGGAAGTTTCATCAAAGTCCAAGTTTGGTTTCTCTCTAAAGCCTGAAGTTCAGTCATCGTAGCCTGCCTCCAACAATCATGTTGACTTGCTTGTTTGAAACTAGAAGGCTCAATATGTGCAGAAATAGAATGACAAAAAGAGATGTGGTCAGAAGAACAATTAGCATATGACATGTATAAATGTAAAGGATAAGGGATGTTGCAAGTAGTGTCAGAAGAATCATGAGTATAACAATGATATTGATCCAAATACCCAGGTCTAGTCTTTGTCCTTAAAGAAACCCTTTTTGCAACAGGATTTTCAGAATCTGCATCTACTGAAATTGATTGAGGTACCTCAAGAGGAGATTCTAAGACAGATGAGTCAATATTAGGATATAATTCATATTGTGTTAGATTAGTGTCATTAGAATTCATTGTGGTATCAAAACTAGTATCCTTTTTAGAAACAGAAACATAAGGAAAAATAGTTTCATGAAAAACTACATTCCTAGAAACTGAAATAGATTTTGAGGAGAGATTAAAAAGTACATATCCTTTACCAGTTTTGTAACCAAGAAAAATTCACTTTGATGCTTTAGGAGCTAATTTTGTTCTTCTGGTAGTAAGAGTTGAAGCAAAAGCAAGGCAACCAAAGACTTTTAGAATAGAAAGGCCAGGTTTCATATTAGAAACCATTTCATAAGGAGATTTTAGTTTCAAAAACGGTGTAGGCAATCTATTGATGAGATGTACCACATGCTTCATAGCAAAAGACCAGAAAATGTTAGGGATTTTGGATTGAAATAGTAAAGATCTACACACATTTAAAATATGTTGATGCTTTCGCTCAACAATTCCATTTTGTTGAGGTGTTTCTATACAAGTGGTCTCATGTAGAATACCTTTAATATTGTAAAAATCAGTGAGAGAATTCTTTTCCATTATCAGATCTTAATCTTTTTAGTTTGTAATTAAATTGATTTTCAATAAGTAAAATAAAATTTTGTGAAAGGTTTCTGATTTCCATTTTAGATTTTAATAAATGAATCCATGTGAATCTACTATAGTCATCAACAATTTTTAATAATTATTTTTAACCATCAATATATTAAACAGCCAAATGTCCCCATATATCAACATGAATAAGCTCAAAGAAATTTTGTGTTCGAGTAGCACTATTTGGAAAAGATAGCTTCTTCTGTTTTGCAAAAGAACATATATCACATGCATGAATAGGATAAAAAGATAGGTAATCATATTGAGAAGAAAGAACTTGAACAATTTTATTTGAGGGATGTCCTAATTTTATATGCCATAAGGAATTATTCTCAATAGTGCTAACATTCACATTGTTTTTATGATGTAAAGTACAATCAGTAGTTTCAGCAGAAAGACTAGCTAAGGTATTAGGCTGCAATAGATGAAATAGCCCTTGAATCTTCTTAGCTACTCCAATCATCTTGAAGGTTGGGTTCTTCACAATAAAACAATTAAGGGGACAAAATAGAACAAAACAATTAAGAGTAGACATAAGTTTAGGAATTGAAATCAGATGCACAGTAAAATCTGGAACATACAAAGAATTATGTGACACTAAGTTACCAAGGTGAATAGTTCCTGAATGATTAGCAATAATAGTACTGCCATTTGCCAACCGAATAGAGATAGTCTTAACGGAATGGAAAGTAGTAAAATAAGATTTAGAAAGGCAAATATGGTCTGTGGCACCACTATCTAGAATCCATGAAGGTGGAAAATAATTAAAACTTGTGGAATTCACAGTGCAATGATGTGCATGAGTCATATTGGGAGAGGAATCTTTGGACTGCTGCAGGAGAGCCAAGAGTGCTTCACATTGCTCTTTAGAGAAACCAAAAGTGTTCTGAGATGAACCAACCTCCAAGGTGGGACTTTCTTAAATTACAAATGGATTAGAATCAACTACGTTAGCAGATGGAGTTGAACAAGTTGATGAATCTTTGCTATTAGTCTTGTAACCAGTAGGGAAACCATATATTTTGAAGCATGTTTCAATAGTATGATTTGTCTTTTTGCAGTTAGAACACCATTTTGTGTTCCTGCTAGAACCTCTACCAAACTTGTCACCACCATGACAGTGATTGAGAAGAAAATATTTCTTTCCATTGATCAATTTTCTTATCTGTGAAAGGGAACTACAAAAAGTATATATACAAAATATTGAAGCAGTTGAAACAGAAATAAAACCTAAACAAATTCTTGTTGTAACCTAAACAGAATTTATTCTGTAACTGACTTAAAAAATTCAGTTATAGGAAAAAGAAAAAATATAATTATTTTATGCCTAATACATGTATATCTCCAACAGTTTATAGCTAATTGAGATTTGATTGGTCTTACCAATGCATTCTTTAATTTCAGGTTTTCATACCTACAGCAACAATTTTCGGGGATGGTATATATAATTTGGTCAAAGTTGTTGGCCGCACCTTTTTTGGTTTGTATAACCAATACTACAAAAAAAGTAGTGGTCAACTTTCATTCGACAAAACCTGCAGAGTTGCTAGATTTCAATACCCAATAGCAAGTGGATTTCTTGTTTTGATTTACATCATTTTTTTAGTAATCATTATTGTCATAGTTAATCATTTGCTCCCGTGGTATCATGTTGGCGTAATATACATTATTACGCCCATACTAGCATTTTGTAATGCATATGGATGCGGTCAATCAAACTGGTCCATGGCATCCACTTATGGTAGAATGGCTATCATCACTTTCAGTGCATGGGCAGGATCATCTCATGGTGGTGTTATAGCTGGCTTGACTGCATGTGGAATGGTGATGAATATTATGTTCACCGGATCTGATATGATACAGGAGTTTAAGACAGGATACATGACATTAACTTCACTGAAGAATATGTTTATAAGTCAAGTAATTGGAGTGATAATAGGTTCAATTTTATCTCCTTTTACTTATTGGTTACTTTGTAGGGGCATTCAAGATGTTGGCATACCTGGTTCTACATATCCTACCCCTTATGGCCTTATTTATCGCAACATGGCAATATTAGGAGCAAATGGTTTCTCACATTTTCCAAAGCATTGTCTCACCCTTTGCCTTGTATTCTTTTTTGGAGCAATGATCATGAATTTTATTCAAGACAGTGTAGATCAAAAATGGGCCAAGTTTATTCCTAATCCTATGGCTATGTCAATAGGTGTTTTGGCACGGGCCATAGGAGGTGCTCCAGATTCAGTAGCAAGTAATTTTGTCCTTGATATGTGTATTGGTGGTTTAATTATATTTATTTGGCAGAAGATTGACGGTATTAGCGCAGATGCATTTGGATCAATCGTAGCTTCTGCATTAATTTGTGGTGAAGGATTATCGACGATTTCTACTTCATTGCTTACTTTTGGGAGAATTAAACCACCTGTTTGTATGAAAGTTTTATCCAAAGAAGAAATGAAAAAGTTGGGGATATGAAGATGTCCATGATTGAAGTTTCAGCATTTTAATTTTTTTTTTTTTAAATGTAACTCAAGACTAGCTGTTTATAATGTATTTTTGACTCTTTAATTTGATTAATGAATGCTATTTTACTTATTGTCATTTGATTCATCATTGAGTAATGAAAGTTATCATTTCTGTGCTTGTTCAGAAAGAGTTAGCTTATTTATAGTATGTTTAGCCAGATTACAAACAATTGCTACAACGCAACATTGAGATCCATTTCCTAAGCTCAAAATACAAGTGATTTCTGTGTTATTCATCATTGCTCATTCAAGAAAATTCTTAGATCTGACTAGAAGCAGAGCTTATGTTAATAATCTGCCTGATTTATAGTTAATAAATGCAAAGAACTTTATTTTGGTGAAAAAATTGTAAGCAATTAAGCTTTGTTTAGCACAATTATAATCTGTTTGGATTCAGAGAAAATAAATTTGAATGAAAAAAATATTTGGAAATTATCCTTAAATGATTAAACTGATTTCATATATCTGTTTCAAACCTCGTTGTAGGAAGCTTTCAAAAAGATACATGAGTGAAATTACATTTGGATAATTCTTTAGTTCCATCGAATGCTCTGATAAGATAATACACATATTATCATTGCATAATAAATTATGAAGTGTTACTCTATCTGCTATCCTGATCACTTATTACTAATTTTCAATTTCTGTAAAAGTCCATAGGTGATTTGATAAACTAAAATTAAATCTTGTAGGAAAATAAACTAAAGTCATGGAAAATTCAATGATGGCTGCTAGAGATGTCAATTATTGCCTCATTTCCTGTTTTTAGGGTCCTCCCTGACCCATGTGTTGCATCTCTCTTTTCACATATCGGTAAATATTGTATTATAGGATCATATATGGATATGTTAAGAAAAAGATGGGATATGTTGTGACTTATGTAACATCACCCTTATAGCCTGTAGGTGATTCTTGTGTTGATACTTGTGACTCTTCAGTTTATTCTGCATATACACTTCGTACACTTCCTGTTCAAATTGAAATAAATTTATGAGTCAACCATTGACTTAACTCCATGGTGAATAAATTTATAACCATCTCTCTATTGTGTCTTTGGTAGACTGGGATTTGGGAATTTTCATGGGATGTGATAGAACCATTTGCATTTTTTTACCACAACCACAGGGTTGGTAGGCTATGCCTGTTTCCACAGACCCTACTTACCAAGAGTTCGTGATAAGAACTTTTCTGAACCGGTTACCTAACATTAGCAGGGTTCGGTATAGAACTTTTACGTGGTTTGTTTTATTTATATCACCAAATCCATGAATAACCACAATTTGAACAAGGTTATCATACCCAATGTGCGACACTGAGTTCAGCTAGAATTCTGTCCAAATAGACAACTAAATGTTTATCAATATGTAAAATTTATGGGTATACGCATCCTCGCAGTGGTTTCCTTAACTTGGCCACAAAGCTACCAGAAGAGTCTTTGAAACCTGATTTCGGGACAAATAGATATGTAGCATATGGCTTTCCTGAAGAGCTTGTACGTGGAGATTCGGTGACCAAGCTTCATTGTGGCATGTTAGATGCGGTATGTAAAATTCTTTCAGTAGAGCTCTGATTAGAAAATGATTTCTCAGTTTATATTAACCACAAATAAACCGAAATCTAAAGTTGTGAATGCACTATTTTAAATAAAGTTCATAGCTCTTTTTAGCAAAGGGACTTGCTTTTGTATATAGGTTGGTGGTCTTAAGGTCATTGCTTGGCATGATAGAATTTGTGGTTAATGTTTTCCTAGTATCTCCTGCAATTGTAGTGTTGACTCTAACTATTCATTTGATCCTTTAAAAGCCAATTTTATAACCAATGAGGCAGTGACAATCATGAGGTCGACACACACACATGCACCCATACAAGCCCAACACAATCCTTTTCTCAACAGTTGTTTGGAGCAAGTGCTATCAGTTATTTAAACGTATAAGTTGAACCCTAATGGTGATCATGTAATTTGAACTGGATAAAAAATCATAGAAATTATAGAAATGAAGGAATTTTTATTGAATGATGATTTCTCTTTTTATGGAATGTGAGTCTAGTAAGAGGAACACCATTCCTAGCTGTGATGAAAATAGGAGATCATACCATGCCACAGGTCACCTGATTTAGGCATCTTGGGGTTATACTTAGGATTCAAGCAGGTAGAAGTAGAAGAAATGAAAATATGAAATGCTTTGGGTGTTATCGTGAGAGAAAGTTGTTAACCAAGGTTAAGGGGAAATTTTTACTGTATAGCTTGATGTTGTGTTAAATTCAATGTTGGGTGGTAAAATGTGGAGATAGTAAATTAAAAAATGACAATGTTGCATTGGATGAGTAAACAATTGTTGCATAGCTTTTAGCTTTAAGACTTGTGATGTTGTATGAAATTGAATGTTGGGTGGTAAAATGCGGAGACAGTAAACTAAACGAAGAAAATATTGCATTGGATAAGTGGACTAGTGACGAGATAATTAGGAATAAGCGCACCAGATAGAAAGTTAGGTTAACACCTATTCTACAAAAGATGGTAGAAGCTTGCATTATGTGATTTGAGCATCTGTGGAGGAGATTTGTGGAAGCTTTAGTAATTAGAGGGGGAAAATGACAGGCAAAACCATTGAAAAGGATGGAGAGGTCAATAGTTTTCTACTGACATAATTTACAATAGGACATTATGGTGGTGTTTGATCCATGTAGTTGACACTATCTGTTTGAAGATTTGTTTCTCTAAATCTAAATCAATGTCATTACTGAATCTAGAAGAAGGAAAAGCAGAACAAACCTCTCTCCACTCCAAGATGTTCATGAGATCTGGTTTTCTATTACAAATTATATTCTAGAATCTTCTTAACCTGGCACTTTCTCTCCCCCTTCCATCTGATATATGTTGTTCCTTTCCCTGATCAATTAGGATCTCTAACTGTCTGTTTCTGACTCAGCTTTGTGCAACACTGAAACTGCCAAAGTTCTATTCTATTATCAATAAGAAAAAAATTGTCACATTGATAGAGCCATTGGTTCACATTCTCACATTAAACCTGGGAAAATCAATCCTAGCGAGCCTAATTCCACAATAATAAGAAGACCCACGATTCTGTCCATGAATACCAGCTGATCCTGATATATTGCCCACATTACCCATCAGTTCTTGCAACGTTTCTTTCATAGAATCAGTCAAGGTTCGTTGTATCGAACCCGCAAGTTCCACCAAACGATCCTCCAACTTCGCTGATAACCGTTCTTCCAATTCCCGCATGGCTGCCGCATGACGAGTTGATTCAGCCATAGAAGGTTAGTCCACTGAATCGTCCCGGCTCTGATACCAATTGTTATAATATTTCTTAGTTCTAGAAAATTCAGATGCAATTCGAAGAACAGAGATTGAGTTAGGGAACCTTACAAGAGAAAAGATTCCGAAGGGTTTATTGCGTGTTTGAGAGATTACAAGAAGGAGATGTGGATACAACAACAAGCGTGCCTCTAATTGTTTACGGGCTCTCTATTTAACTTCTTAAAACTGAATCTAACAATTTCTCTTAAAATGTGGAACACACGTAACTAACTCAACCAACTGCTAGTAATATTATTCCTTAGCTTTATTTCATATCATCTTTGCTGTCATCATTGTCGCAAAAAAATCTTTAAAATATGAGAACATTTGTAGCCCATTAATGACTATACAAATAGATTATATGCCCATTTGGTTTGGAGTTTGGTAGAATTGGTTTTGAACCATCGAATGTGATTGAGATGTGCGCCTAAACATTAATCTGAACTTATGCAAGAATTGAATTTAACTTTAATTGTTCATAAGCATCATGTGTGTTTGCTTATCATTATAATTTAAACTGGTAACGTGCAATGTTTTTATCAAGCCTTGTGAACATTCAGGTTGAATAAATATCCACCAATTTTTCAAGGGATACTCAGAGGGTCGTGCTCATCGTGACTCCTGGCCGGAGATGCTCAAGCTCAAAGATTGGCCTCTGTCTAATCTATTTGAACAGAGGATACCGCGTCACTGTATGGAGTTTATTAGTGCTTTACCCTACAAAGAGTATACGCATCCTCGCAGTGGTTTCCTTAACTTGGCCACAAAGCTACCAGAAGAGTCTTTGAAACCTGATTTCGGGACAAATAGATATGTAGCATATGGCTTTCCTGAAGAGCTTGTACGTGGAGATTCGGTGACCAAGCTTCATTGTGGCATGTTAGATGCGGTATGTAAAATTCTTTCAGTAGAGCTCTGATTAGAAAATGATTTCTCAGTTTATATTAACCACAAATAAACCGAAATCTAAAGTTGTGAATGCACTATTTTAAATAAAGTTCATAGCTCTTTTTAGCAAAGGGACTTGCTTTTGTATATAGGTTGGTGGTCTTAAGGTCATTGCTTGGCATGATAGAATTTGTGGTTAATGTTTTCCTAGTATCTCCTGCAATTGTAGTGTTGACTCTAACTATTCATTTGATCCTTTAAAAGCCAATTTTATAACCAGTGAGGCAGTGACAATCATGAGGTCGACACACACACATGCACCCATACAAGCCCAACACAATCCTTTTCTCAACAGTTGTTTGGAGCAAGTGCTATCAGTTATTTAAATATATAAGTTGAACCCTAATGGTGATCATGTAATTTGAACTGGATAAAAAATCATAGAAATTATAGAAATGAAGGAATTTTTATTGAATGAAGATTTCTCTTTTTATGGAATGCGAGTCTAGTAAGAGGAACACCATTCCTAGCTTAGTGATGAAAATAGGAGATCAACCAAATCACAGCAACCTAAAGGAATCAATAACATGTCTGAAGTAAATGTAGTTTGTTGAATAGACCAAGTGAAGCCTTTCACCATACAAGAAATTGTAAGCTTGGACCCATCTGCTACCACAACACTTAAAGGCTCCCTTTCTTCAATCTTGCACCCATACTTCTTAGCCACTTGAATATCCAAG